CAGCTTGTAATATAATTGTAATGATATTTTAAACAGCTTGTAATAAGTATAATTTTTTTAATATTTGATGATCATGATAAATCTATTTCATATCGGTGGGTTATTACCACGTCGCGCGTCGGGTAATGGTACATTTTTTTTTGTATTTTGACATCCACTTAATAATTAAAAATGGAAAAAAAATTTTAAATACAAATGTACAATTTTTCTTTTATTTCTTTTGACATCAAAATTTGCTAGCGTAAAATATGTTTAAAGTAAAAAAATCATTAAAAAAATTAAAATTCATCCTTAATGAAAAAACAAATAACGATTTTTATAACTAACCATTACAACAACATCAGGAGAATACCTAAAACCGAAATAACATTAAAATACCTACAATTTTTACAAATCAGCATGCAACTAATTGTGATGATACAGTTGAAAATATGCTTTAATATATTATTTATTGCTTCAAAAACAAATTCAGAATTATCAAACATTTCGTTCTGTATTTTTTTTTCAATGCTTGTAAATTTTGAAGTCTTTAATAATATATTTTGTTGAAGTGTCCTCACAAAAATATGTGTAAAGGACTGAGATCGGGGCTGTTTTCTGGCCACCTAAGGTTTGTAATAATATTTTTTAGTGTTCATTGACAGGATTCGTCCTCCAAAATAAATTTGCCGACATTCCTGAAGAACTTTTGCACATTATTGTTATGTGAATAATACAGCTTAATTATGTTTTATTTTAAATATAAATCCCATGTATTTTTAAAGGTAGGTTCGTTTCTATCGTTTTTGTCTGATTGTGTGCGAGAGAGATAGAGTTATAGTGTGTGATAGAGATAAAGAGACTTTCTCTCTCTCGCTGCTATCTTCAGGATTCTCTGGAGCTTCCCCAGCATTTTCAAGATACCTATATAGGGAGGGAACGTGTGGGCTTTTTTGCCTTCGTTATCGAGCTATGATGTCACAACAAAAACGGTTTTTGCATCTATTTTAGGCTGCCAATTTCCATCATTTAACAAGCAGTCTGTGGCTCTAAGCTATATTGTCTGTGCTTCAACATACGGATAAAGATAGTAACTTCACTAATAATTTGTATTTATTGTTCAATTCTGAGGATTTAAATTCTTGACATAGGAATATACAGAATGTCAAAAAAGTGTTGAACATTTGAAGAGCAAAAGGTTCAAAAAATAAGAAAAAAAATCGTATATTTAATACAAGGTATTGTTTAATAAGGCTGCATGATTTGCATATGGCGAAGACAAATGAGATAGTTCTGTGGCGGGGATTCAGGGGTATCGTTATCTTTTTTAAGCAGTACTTCACTGAAATTTTCTTAAAAGTAGTATTTTCTGAAACCACAGGATAAATGAAAAATAAAACTAGAATCTGTTTTTGATAGGACCAATCATTTACGAGAAAATTGACGGTATACCTTGAATGTTTTGAATGTTGTACTCATTGAGATAAAAAACTTCCTATGAATTCGTTTCATGCAGAAAAAAAAATAGCTAAAATTTTTATTTCATGAATAACGCATTGGAAAAGGTTTACAAACTGTCTTCTTTGCACTTCAATGTAGGTTGAACATCGTAAAAAATGAATTACATCTCAAATATCCCATATTCATATTCTCTGTTGTAGAACTTGCAAATTCTCAGAAGTCGAAGATATTCAGTTCTGGTAATATAGGTGGCCATTAACCGGTCCACCACGTCCAGTCCACCTTTGCCCATAGGATTCATTTATGTCCTGTATCGGCAGTAGGAAATGAAGAGGATCACCATCGTGCATGAACCACAAACCACGTCTGACATTCAATGATACGTCTTCAAGTAATGGCAGTAACACCTCTCTTAAAAAGTGTAAATAATATGCAGAACCATTTAATGTATTAAGCAAAACAATAGATCCTATCAACCTTTCTGCCGGAGTAGCAATCCGAACATTGAAACTAAAGCGTTGTTGATATTTGGCTTGAACAATACCATGTGGATCTGCTCAACCCAAACGTGTGTCTTTCTTCTCTCTATTTTTTCCAAACTTTTTGGGGGTTCTCCAAGCATGAGGGTAGAATACGAGCCACAATCCGTCTAACACCAGTTCCAGTGTTTTCTTCCACGTCCTCTAAAATTCTTTTTTTTATCTTGTATGGAAATAGTTTTAGGTCTTCTAGAGTGAATAGGTTTTTTATCAAATTTTCCCCTGTCGCGCAGCCGCTGATGGAATATAGTGCAGATGGATTGGGCGATTAGGATAAGCCTCAGCGTACAGATGACGAGCTTCCAGTCCATTCCATACAATGGCATTATTAATTTTCCATGTCCCCATAAGATATATTTTTTTATAAAAAACAAATAAGTCTTTATTTCATAAATATCTTTATATAGGGTGATTCACAAATGCTGACCAAAAATGAAATCTCGTATTCTTTGGTGGATTTTAAGAGTCCTTTGTATACAGTTTTTATCTAGGGCGCTTCCTTAAAAAGATACGGGGTGTTAAACTTCAAAAAATATTCTTAATTTTTTTAAATAATTAAAAAACTAGTAAGTGAAATAATTTGAAATTGGGCACATATATTTATGTCTAAAATATGAGACCTCCTAAAATTTACATGATCCAGTGGCGGAGATACAGGGTATCGGCGGCATATTTTTCTAAATAAAATAGTACGCCACTGCTTTACGGTAACGACCGTGATATTTTCGTATTCGTTTTTTAATTTTATACAAATTACTACTCCATTATATTTTTCGAAAAACGACTGATTTTCGAGCAAAAGGACCCCGCACAAACATTATGGAAAATGGCTTTCGGTCGAAATGGCTGAAATTGAAATATGATATAGCTCTCACCTTCCTGAGCAAAAGTTGTCATGGGCCCAAAGCGATCCTATGTATAGGTTTAAAGATATAGAGCTTTGAAGCTAACGATTTCATAGCACGGTGCTGAATATAAGTGCAGGATAGGTATATTATATGTATATCTCCCTTTCTCCGTATATACAGAGTGAGTCAGTTTTTTGTAGACAAACTTTAACAGGAGATAGAACACATGTTTTTAAAAAGAAAAGTTCCTATAAACATATGTCGTAGAAGGCTTCGTTTCCGAGATACGGGGTGTTGAATATAATTTTTTTTTTCTCGAATATTCATTATAACTTATAAACGAATGCTTAGATTTTTTTTATGTTTGGGAGATAATGCCTATTAATTAAGGGGCATAAAACAAGCGATAAAAATGTTCAAAAACTTGCACAGTGGCGGAGTGGAGGGGGTGCTCAACCCCTTTCTTAAACAGAACTTCTACGCCAATGACTATTTTTTTAAAAAACTGTTATTTTCATTATCTACATACAGTTTAACAAAAATAATATCCATTCTTCTGTCTCGAAATTCCAGTGCGTTTCCGAGTTATTTTGATTTTTAGTGTTTGTTGTGGTACTAAATTATGTAATTTATTTATTGTCAAATATCGGCTAAATATTTAATTCTTTCAACGAAACCTACCGAAATATGGTTTGTTAAGGATTTTAAAAAGCCGAAATCTCTTATTCTTTATCTCTTTCCAATGTAGTCAAAATAAATATTTGTTATATCAAGCTATACTCAAATACAAGACTTTTATAAGTTTGTATCTTTTTAACGAAAAACTTTATAGTAAAGACCCCTTAAAATTCATCAAAGAATACGAGGTTTCATTTTTTCACAAAATAACCAACATTTTTTTTTACTACTATTAGCAATACTAATTAGAAATAATAACACATTTTTTCATGAATTCGTATTATTTTTTTATTAGATACAATTTTTTTAAATTATTGATTAAAAAAAATTGTTGGATATTTTGTGCTGTATTGACTTTTATACTGTTATGACTTCCTCCACTAGATATTTTGAAAGCGTTCAGAGTCGTACAAAGGAAAATGTTAGATGATAGCTAAAGCACGCTAAAAAACCTTTTTCAACGATTACAATACTATCATCTAATTTAGAATTAAAAATTACTGGATTTTGTTACAAAAATAGCAGCGACGTGTTTAAAAGAATTAACCTGATGATGGCCCCTCGAAGACGAAACCTTGGATTGCAAAAATATTGACGCCATTGAATAGAGCGAAAAGTGGCAATGTAAATATGCAATTTATTTTAAAATTCGTTTTCAAATAAAGCCAGAAAAAAAATAAAACAGTTTTGCAAAATTTTGTTTTTTTTCGGATATATCCGGAACTACCCGGAATTTTAAAACTTTCTAAACGGCATATTGTTAGGTATAAAAAAATTTGAGCCACCCCGTATCTTTTACTGTTTCCTAGATCCTAATGATATCCCATCCTTATCTTGGACACATTGTATTTGGAATATTAGGTATAAAAGTGTTAGTTTTGTGGCTAGCAAAAAAAAACACTTTTAATTCGAATAAAACATGCTAGTTTTTCTCCAATCTCCCATTTAATTATTAATTTGTGCTTTGAATTTAATCTAAGGATTAAAAGTGTCAACTTTAGCTCCTAGAATTAAAAATGAATACTTTTTTTGTTGCTAAGATACCATTTTTTTTTCTCAGTGAGGAAAATGTTAATCTTAGAGACTTCCGAGGGTCAAAAAATGTCATACTTTTCTGACGGTAGGAGAAAAATACCTTTTCTTTGTTAATTTTCTGTGGCCCTTCAGAAAATGCTACCATTTTTATGAAAATTTCAGTGTAGAAGTACTGATAAAAAAAAAGATGACGGTGCCCCTGAATCTGCGCCCCTGAATTATCTCACTATCAAATTTGATTTGAATTGGTCAGTTAGTTCAGAAGAAATGCAAAACAGATTTGTTTGCAATTTTTTCATATAAACTCTTTTAAATGACTTCGTTCAAGAGAATACAGGGTGTTAAAATAAAAAAAAATAGTCATATCATGTGGTGATATACACTAGGTGTTATAATGTTACAGTGTCAATGCATGCAGAAGCAGGTGCAATAAGTTCTGATAGTACTGGTCTGGACTTACTAGCTATGGATATATGCAAGGCTGACCCCAAATCGGTAAGGGCGTTACTGAGATCTTGATGATATCTGGCGAATATGCCGTCATCTGGAAGGTAAATGTTAGTGGTGTTAGTTGATACAAAACAATTGACAAAGCTGTTAGGTGTTAAGATTTCGTCGCATTTGCAATGTACACTAGCAATTAGTTAAACATTCTGGAGATGAAAAAACATATTCAATCAAAATCGTTACTTTATGTACAAGCAGTTGAAATGTTACAATTTTGTTCTTCTCTGATAAGAATTTTTGGAACATAATAGCCAAGAAGTTTGGTACAGCTGCAGACAAAAAAAAGACAGCTGAACCATACATCCTTGTTCTACTATTTTTATTCGATATTGCGTTTACTTACAATGTGAATCGTTGTATATTTTGGACACGCTAGCGTCATCTACGTTTTCTCCTAGCATAACATTAACCAACCGCTCTATGAAGTCTCTCACTTGCTCTTTCTCCTTTTTCCGGATAGCCTCTAAGTCTTCGTCTATTTCATTCAAGGAATCCGTATTCATCTTCGTTGTCATATCCACTAAAACAGAGAAAAGCTTCAGTTTTACTTCGCATAAAATAAAGATTAGTAGAACAATTCCATATCTATAGTACGATCATATTCGATGCAAAGTAATAAATCATTGCCTGTCAAGGGAACCAATGAAGTACGCCTTTAAGGGTTTTACAAATTGAATAATTTCTTTATACATTATGAAGGGTCGAGGGGATCAGTTCAGGTCTGGCACCCTTGTTGCTACAAAAATTCCTTTATTCTCATAAACTATTTATTTTAAATGTAATTTATTATAAATCCAATTTGTTTCCTAAATTCCACATATGTACTACATTTTACATCTGTACGCGCCACCGTTGTTTACTTGTTTTTTGGAAGCGCTCTCTAATTGACAGCAAAGCTCGCCAGGTTAGTATTTGACGTATAACCGACCAGTTCGTACACTCGATGCACCTGGGCGACTACAGCTACTACCAGCACACAGTGCGTATGCAGCGGTATTTCAGATTTTACATTGAATTTCATTTTAAATTTGAAATGATTTATCTTACGCTTCCTAAAAATGATGACACGATTTTCCTTTGATAAAAGGCCGACAATTTTTTGCTCTACTTTGCATCGTATACGATCCTACTATAAGTGCCCATTACTTGATGCAGTAAATCTGCAGATATTGTCATCAAACGGAACTGCTTACCTTTGTTACTGGGATGTATTGCACTGAGGATTCCTTGGAACCAAGACTCTGAAGGCCTGAGGCAAGAGGTGCACATCCACCCTTCCCGCTGTGTTAGATTGGAGCACCGATATTTGCAAATCCTGGCCTTGCATTTTGAACAGGTCACCACTTTGTCGCCCTCTAGAATACCATCTATGGAGCGGAGGTAGGTGCCGCATACGTCACAGTACCACTCCCTTGGTTTTCGACCACTAAAAAAAGAGAGAATTGTAATGTACCGCCCCCTCTCCGCACAAATATTAGACTTGTGGTCTAGATAAGATTTTCTTTGTTTTTACGAACATGCTCATGATAATAATCTAATTATGTTTTTTTTAATAATTGTTTAGTTTCCTAAAATGTTTATTGACAAAATCGTTATTGACAAAAACATTAAATGGGAACAACATATAAATAATTTAACTTCGAAGAGAGAAAAAATGGAAACACTATATCAAATGTTAATGAGTAGTTATTACAAATGAATTTAGAAACACTATTTGGCAGTAAGATTAAGATTACATCTAGTTTCCTAAATCTTACAACTTATCACCTTTAGAAATAGAAAGAATTAAAAGTCTCAAACAGTTGTTCCTCAAGGATATATGCTCCACTAAAAATAGAATCGACATCACCAAACATTTAGTAATAAAATATTTCGAGAAAAAAATGTTATACTTAGAAGCATTATGTATCTGGAAGGTTGTATTGTATTTATTAAAATGTATCTTTTTTGCCCTTAAAATAGCTTCAGCTGATTTAATTTCACAAATATCTATTTTTCTGTATTACTGTGGTTTTGATAGTGCTCTTATTACTGTGGTTTATTGTTTGCATCCGACAAAATGGTCAAAATCGTATAAATGTATCTTTTTTGCCCTTAAGACAAATATCTATTTGTTCTGTATTACTGTGGTTTTCATAGTGCTCTTATTACTGCGGTTACTCGTATAGCATGTAGATTCATGGATACTGTTTTAATTTAAGATGAAGCAAGACAAATTGCATTAGCAGCTTCTGTATACAGAAGTATTTTCTGATAGATATGTGCCAAAAGCTGCTAGGTACTCTTACTGCGAGAATTAACTGATTACATTTAACAATGGCATGAATTAATAACAATAATGAAAGCAATAATTGAATTCGTTAAAATAAAACAATTGTGATAAATGTCTACTTATTTACAATCTCGTTAAATTCGTTTCGCTTTTTGTGCTTTAAACTTTTTGTCCATGCCGATTGACCATGCGTGCATCGCGCTAGGTCAGGTATTAAAGCCGAAACAAAATTCCAGTGGCGTGTAGATAAATATTCTTAAATAATTTTCAAAATAACATTTTTTATAACTTTTTGGCGCTTTGGTAGAAATCCACAGTAGGTATATCCTTTTTTAGATAAAGTGTGAATCACCCTGTATGCAGGTCAATTGTGATGTACCTGCTTTAAAAAAAAATTATTACAAACATAATCGCAAAAACAGCTTTTATGATGAAGTAGTTTCACAATAATAATATAACTTTTTGTTTAGCACTCAGATAAACCTAAAACATGTTAGAATATGTATATGTTATGAATTAATGATTTCTTTTTATAATTTCTCCTTAGCAACGATTTCCTCATGGAAGTTAGTAGTTCGCTGCCCTTGACAAATTAAAAGCATTCACGATGACAATTAAAAAGTCGTAAACACTACATTAATGTAAACAAAACATAATGTAACGTAATAACATAATATTACGGTACATGTATAATTTATATGTATAGTGAATCATAATTTTGTTTGCGGTAATATTGTTTTTTTCCAAATGTAGCCCATTATATTAAAATTACTCAAGGAAAAATTCAGATAAAAGCCACAGGCGTTACTTTTAGGTGTTCTAAGTAATTAAATTAAAACAACATTTTGTAATATACAGGGTCGGTTACTTAAAACTGCCCAAGTTTGTATCTCCTACAATTTTAGGGTGTCAATGTTTAAATATTTTCAATATTTCAAATTAATTTAAAAAAAACGAGTGATTATAAAAAATGCTGGTGGTTGAAATTTGTTTTTCGTATCTAATTTTTTCTTTAACGCACTGTATAATAAATACCATTAAGTCATGAATATGATATGATAACGTTGCATCGGAAACCATCAGAGATAGAAGAGATGGTTAAATTGGAGCAAATTTAGTATGTACTTTTACTAAGAGAAATCGAAAATATATTTGTTAGTTTTTGATATTTTTTGAAGAATGCGAAATTTTCAGATTAAGATTTTATCGATTTCCGTGTCTATTTGAAAAGCTGTATGAAAATACTTTTTTATGCCATTTTTGTTCCTTTGTTCTATAAAGACTAAAGTTTTTGGAACATTTCTTGCGATTTCAAAGAAATATATAAAAAAATAATTGAATGCTGCATTTCGATTATTTGTCCTTTTTGGAACCGTTTGATTTCCCGAATTATTATAGTGACAAATAATTCGATGCGTTTCATAATAACTTCATTGAGTTCTAGACAAAGGACATCTTCTTTAAATATTTTTTTCTTAATGAAGGGACAAATTTATGACCCATAAAAGGTCCTAATTTGATTTCCTTGTAATTCCTTCTATGGAAGATTCTGATGTACATAAAAATAAAGAACATGTGTGTAATGATTTATATGATCTATGTGGAAAACACATTTAATGAAGTTTATTCTATCAGTAAGCTGGATAATTGGGAATTATAAAAAAGTAGCCTAATATATAGGGTGTCCCACAAAAGAACCGACGTAGGGCAGGTGCATGTAGGGGTGTCCAAAATATTGTAATTTAACCAAAGTTACGTATATACAAAGTTGCACCCCTGGGTGGTGCCCTAAATTTCGAAAAAAATAATATCTTTGCAACACTTCACCGTACTAGAACCAAATTTGGTACATGATTTAGGCTTATTACTGGTCTTCTTTGACTATGATTTAAAGTTAATTGAAGCACTATAAGGTGTTTATTGGGGATAACTCACCCCTAAAATTGTTCCGAACTTTTTTTTCATTGACCGAATTGAGAAATAATAATATTAATTCACAGCATAATTTAATTTAAAATTTTTTTTTACTCTTGTTAAATTTTAAAAAACTTTATGCTTTTCAAGAAAAAAACGTATTAACTGACACAAGACTTTAACAGTGTTCATTAGAAAATAATCGAAAAGTCAGTAGTAGGCAATGAATTTATCTTTCAAACTTGTTAGTTAGTAGTAAAATTATTATATTTCAACAATTGCCTCCGATTGTTCTTGAAAAAATATCAGTTATTATTTTTATTACGTATTTGTGTTTTTTACTTAATACAATATTCGCTTATTTAAAAACTACCTAGGTACTTGTTTTCTTTTTGTAGAATTAGGAGAGAAGTGAAGTAAAATTTATTTGGCCAATTGACTTTTTGATTATTTTCTATTTTTCAATTCGATCAATGAAACAAAAATTCGGTAAAATTTTAGGGGTGAGTCATCCCCAACCTTGTAGTCCCTTGGAAGGACCTTGTAGTCCTTCAATTAACACACGCGGTGATTTCATGGCAGACATGACAATGTGCAGGATCAATAAGTATCGATTTACTGGATTTAATTAAATTTCTTAGCAGTAGCCAATGAATTGTCTCATAAAATTTGTCAAAATAAACCAAAATATTGTGCAAACTATGAGAGCATTGTAATCAGAAGAATCTTTGTAATCAGAAAATGAGAAGGATCTAAAAATGACAAATATATACCTATGTTGTTGCATTAAAAAAAATAAAATGTCATAAAAATTTGGTGTTTATCACTTTGTCCTAGATAAAAAGCCAAATAATATAAGAGTGAATGAATTATGTATTATGAATACCTCTATACAAATAAGTTTGTTAAAATTGCATTAATTCTATATGACAATTTTCTATTTTTAACACTTGGGGGGAGCAGCCATTGCTAGTCTAAAGCCATCTTCAGTTTAAAGATGATTTATTTCTACTAAATAGGTACCTCGTTTATTTTTTACTCTTGAATAATAATGTTTATAATAAAACTCGTTGGAATTTTTTCCTCTACAACTTCAGTCCAATATTTTTCGTCCACCACTGACATTTTTCAACTTAAACCAGAAAAAAATGGGTTAAATTAAATTATTGCACCATACTGTATATATTTAGAACGCAAACTTGTAGGAAATAATCCTCTCTACAACTTTGTAGTGTCGCGAAATGGATATTTATTATTTTAAGTTAAACCGCTACCACTGTTTATTTGGTATTGGAATTCTCATTCTCCTACTTAAATATTAATAACTCGGCAACTAAATAGAAATCAGTTTACCCTGAGCCAAGGAGAAACTTCAAGAATTCTAAAGTCACACCAAACGGGACTAGTAACGCGTCGAGACGTCCGTTATCAGTTATAAAACAAAACAATCGCCTATTAGGTAATACGTTATTGTATAATCGAGTCAACTTGACGACCTAGCAAGCCTCGTATACCAACATCGCTGACCCACATATCCTGAGAAAGTGAAGTTGTATAATACCACTTTTACTTTCCTCCGAAGAGCTTAGTGTCGACCAAGAACCCAGCAGATCTAGAAGCCCTAGCAGCGGCTGGCGTTTTGTTCCGAACAAAACAAGTGCAGTGTGACAGTGAAACGGTAAACAAATGTTTGCGGCGAAGCTCAATTGCACCAAAATGTTCCCGGGAGATCTGTTTAGTGGAAGATAGGATGTTCTTGTTTTATTCGATACTATCGAGCGTGGAAAGTTTGGGAATAAGTGGAGATTACCCGCCTGGTACTACCATCCGACACAGCGCCACCCACATGGACGTGTTTATGGCACTTTTCATGATATGCGCCATCGAGATTGTCGTCTTGAGGATCGCCATCTTCGACGAGAGTATGGCTGAAGGTGAGGACAGAAGGACGTCCGCCAGTGTGTTTTTTCAAAGGGATTGAATCGGAAGTTGTCCTTCAGAAATGCGTGATATGTTACCAAACCGAAATACGATGTGTAATGTGTTGTAATCATAATTTGTAAAGTTTTTTATTAAATGTTAGTAATTTTTTAAATTGATGCTGGATGTTTTCATTCGAGACACTAAACAGTAAATAAACAGCAAACATGCAAAACCAGATAAGTCTATTCAATTTTAAAGAAGAGTCGATACGTTTTAATATCAATATTGTAATTATTGTAATATGGATATAGGACTGT